GGTGAGAACTGTGAGTTCAGAGGGGCGGGAGGCGTCCTGTGTGGGCGCCGTGTTTGGAGAGCGAGGTCTGGGGAGCCCCAGCTCCGCAGGCCAGGGGCACGACTGAAGCTCGGCGGTTTTGTCCGGAGGAGATGGGCTAGGTGAGGCTGCCCTGGGCACCGAGGGGCTGGCTGCCGCACAAGGGTGGCGCCCTGGGGAGGTGGTGAGGGGCATCCTCCTCCCAGGAGCGTACGTGATGACTTGGCAACCCTGGAACCTGCCAAGGAGCAGCCCCAGTTGGTGTAAGCAAGCAGCGCTTGTGTGGCCATCTCCACGCTAGCCGTTCAGCCATGGGGGCTCCTGCTTGCACAGCACCCCAGCACCGTCAGGGCAGCGAGGGGGTGATCGTCCTCCTCCTTCCACCAACACACCATGGCACCGATAGCAGACCTGTACCATCCTGGGGACCGGGAGAAGCCACGGCAGCTGCCTGCGATGACAGCAATTACAGCCAACCTGGTGATACTGGTAATTACAGAAAGTACGAGCAGGCTGCTGTGGCTGCAACTGGGGTCAGAGGAGGGAGGGGGCACCTTTTGGCTGCTGTGGGTGTGAGCTCTGTGCCCATGCAGGTGTGGTGGAAGAGAGGTTGCGTGTGGCTTGTGCAATGCAGGGGGCTGTTCAGTGGAGGCTTCTGACGGACAACATGGCTCCTGAAATTAAAATAAGCCTTTCGTACAAGGCTAATTCATGAGGGTGTTATACTTCTGGGCCTCAGGCGATAGCTGTGGGAACCGTGTGCTGAAAACCCTTCGCATCAGTGAATGGGGAACTGCACACAAATGCACGTGAATGTTACAAATGGTCCTTTTAATGTCTGCCTGAAAATGGTGACAAATCCCTTTATTTCAGTGTGCTGCTGATGCTTCTTCAGATGCCATTGAATTTCTGATTAGCAGTAACTCAGCCTGTAAGTGTGGGCGCGTGCTTTGCAGAACACTTTGGTGAGATGAGCGTTACCTGGGGAGCCTGTGTGTGTGTGTTAGGGCAACACCGTGCGTCTCTGCCGGCTGCTTAGTTCAGGAGCCGGCCTCCCTTTGAGGCTGGGGCTCTTCCACAGCCTGGCAGAATGGCCTGACAGGAGGGGACATCTTGTGTATTAATAAGCCCTTAAGCTATTTACCAGAGCTATTTAGTTACAGAGCAAAGACCTTATTAAACTACTAGACTTCAAAACCCCACGGTGGCATAGCTCCAGGCTGCTGCTCATGAGTTTCCTCTCTGCAGTCCCCTGCTTCGTTTGCTTGTGTGGCATGACGTTGTCTGCCTGCCGTGGGTGCGGGAGCCTTCTCCCAGGCTGCTTTCTGGAGCAGCCTTCCTGCATCTCTCTCCACCTCGCTCATACCAGTTTCAAAATCTTCCAGGAGAAGTATTTCTTCACTGACTTTACATTCATATCTCAGGTTATATTTTGCTACAGCCTTAAGATAGCTTGCAGCCTGCCAGGCTGACTCCTGACAGCCCGTTAGTAATGCACTAATACTAAAGCAGCATTGCGGGTGACTTTGTGAGCGCTCTCCTCTAGTTCAGGTGTAACTTTCTCAAATGCCCTTAGACCTGGTAGCAGGAAACGGAATAACCTTCCCTGCATCTGCTCATCTTTTTTTGGCCATTAAGTTTCTGGCACCAGAACTTGCCTGATGATGCATGAGGCAGCAGGATCTAATTTGCTGCTCTGCAGTCTCCGTAATGTTCTGCGTCCCTGACTTTTTCTGCTGTTGCATCCTGCCAGCTCTGAAGAGCTGATCTGACGTCAAAACCTGCTTTTATTTACAGGAAAAGGCGTCTGCTCTCTGAAGGCTTGCTTGAGACTGTTTGCTGAATGTCCAGGATGAGAGTGCAAAAAAATTTGCCACCCAGTTTCAGTTTAATAAGGGCACTGAGACTAATTAGTGAACAGGGATTTGGGAGACAATTAATGCTGCCCCAATCACAACAGGGGAAAAAACCACAGCTAATGACTAGTGTTAGCGTGCCTAGCAGGGAGAGAGAGTGGCCAACAGGAGTCACCATTGTAAAAGCAAGCCTTGGGCTTCGTTAGCAGTGCAGTCAGGTTCCAGGTGAGCAGGAGGTTGCACAACAGTCACAGCCAACAGCAGCAAATCTCCCAAAAGCCCCTCACAGCAGGCTGCTGAGGGGATGCTGATGGGAGAGGCTTGGGCTGCTGTTGCTGCTGCCATCCACTATTAGGAGCATTACCTTTCTTGGGAGCTCCTCTTGATTTTCTTCTCTCTCTCTTTTTTCTTTTTTTTTTTTTCTTCCCCTCAGCTTTCATAGATACGGGAAATTCATGCCGTTGCTTCTCTAGTGGAAAAAATAATTCCCATTTATAATTTAAAGCTTATTCTTGGCTGATGTCTTTTCATTGCAAATGCGGCAGAATTTTGTACTGAAATCCTTGTGGCTCAGTGTTGCTATTAGAAGAGGGTTAGCTGGGGGACGGGGGGGAACAACCAACAAATCCTTCTTAGAGACACATAATGCCTCTAAGAAACAAGTTAGGGCCAAGCTAGGGCACCAGAAGGTGTGGATGATGTGAAGTTACATTGGGTCAATTAAAACCACTCAATTTCAGCTGATATTCCTGCTTTTACTCTTCTGTAGTTCCCTTTTAGCTCTGCCGTGGGTTATTGAGTCATTTCGAGTTGAGTGCCATTCTGGGGACAGATACATCAAGCAGCAAGAGGGAAGGATTGGGCCACGTGCTGCTGAACGGGGCCAGCTTGTGAACCACAAGCAGAGCGAGCTGCTTGCCGAGACGCTGCCCTCGCACGTGGCTGAACCCCAGCTCCGCACGCCCACGGCGGCGATCTCGAGTGGTGATGCTGGCAGGCGCGGC